ACAAAGGGTCTTTACCCTGTTAACCCAACGTTATGGTGGCCCAGTGTTGAGCAATGAGTCCCCTGAATGGATGTGGTACAAATTAGATGTTCATCGTATGGGATGGAGAAACACGAAGGGGAGTGCTGCAGTGACATTTCTGTAGGGAACACGTGTCTTTGAGTCCTGCCCTGATGGGAATATTCTTTTTTTTTTTTATGATATATTTTATTGATTTTTTTTTCAGAGAGGAAGAGAGAGGGATAGAGAGTTAGAAACATCAATGAGAGAGAATCATCGATCAGCTGCCTCTTGCACACCCCCTACTGGGAATGTGCCCGCAACCAAGGTACATGCCTTTGACCAAAATCGAACCCGGGACCTTTCACTCAGCAGTCTGACGCTCTATCCACTGAGCCAAACCGGTTTTGACCTGATGGGAATATTCTATAAATAGCATATTTCCAGTGAGTCCCCATGCTGTTTTCTCCCCTATACTTTTCCTTCAGCCTACGTGTTTCTGACCTACCTTTCATTTAGAACCTGTGAATGAGAAGCTGAACTGTCACCTAGGACCACTTAGGAAACAGAGGGAGGAGTAGACTAGGACCTGATTTTGTGTCATTAATCATCCTAAATGGTTTTGTTTGTTTGTTTATTTGTTTGGTCAGGATGCACAACTTCAGCTGCTGACATCATTTATGTGGTTAGATTTGGTATGTAACGTCTGCTTTCTTCTTTCTTTCTCCTTCCCTTTTTTTCTGGCTTTGTTGCAAAAACCACATTTGTTGCAATTGACAGTGCCCAAAGGAATAGACACATCCAACCAGAATGGGGCCAAAGCTGATGACAAATAGTGTTCTGGGCTGCCAATCCAAGACAGATGGAAAATACAGGAAGAAGGACAATACAGTTGGAAGCCCCCACGGAAGTTTCAGGGAAATCTTTAAGCTGTATCTAATACCCAGCTTAAAGATTTTCCTCCATGGAAAGTGAAATCCAGCAAGACTGTTAATTAGAGAAGGGGAGGCGTTATCGTGAGGATAAGAAGACAAATCAGAGTTCAAAATGAGTTCAGAAAAGCAGCATGCATAGCAACGTGCATAGTATGATTCTATCTTATAAATAAAAACCAATGCTGGAATATGTATTTTTTTAATATGTATTAATTTTTTTTCTAGAATGATACACAAAAAAAACTGTTAATAATGGCACTGAGTTGGGGATGTGGACAGAGTTGGAGTGTTGAGGAGGGAGAAGACTTCTTTTTATAACTTTATTATCACTTTCTGGAGTGGTTGAAGTTTTATCATATATCCTTAGTACATACATTTAGGAAATAGACATGCATACGTATATATTTTTAAGGGGATGGAAGGGCAGGAGATGCTGACATCACTAGCTCCAGGTTTCAGCCGTCCCATACCTCTGTGTCTTGTGCTCTAGATCTGGAATAACCCGTTCATCAGCTGGGACCCAGGAGAATGCGGTCATATCAATAAGCTCACCGTGACAACCGAGAACCTGTGGCTCCCAGACATCTTCATTGTGGAATCGTGGGTATCAGGGCTGGGAGGCTGGAGGGAAAACCCTCCTGCAGGGAGAAGCCCAGGGTAGGGCAGGGCAAGCCCATTCTGTGGGGCCACTAAAAATGGATTTTGGAGAGGAGCACAGTCACAGCTTGCTAATTTCTCCCCTAGACGTTGGAAAGTGGTGGGCACAAAAGATGGCAGAGTGACCATAACAAGCAGCATTGGGAAGCCCTACCTTAACAGAGAAACTTAAACTGGCGTGTAACCCAGAGCACTTTCCTCCCTCCCCTCTCCTGCTCCCTAGCATGGATGTGGATCACACCATGGAAGGCCTCTCTGCATATGTGACTAGTGACGGCCACATTGTATATAGCAAACCAATGCGGGTGACCAGCATCTGTAGACTGGACATCTTCTACTTCCCCTTTGACCAGCAGAACTGCACCTTCACCTTTAGCTCTTTCCTCTACACAGGTGAGTGGCAGTAGAGGTTCTGGTCTGGGGTAAAATGAGATCAATCAGCAACAAAAAAAGTACACACAAGCAGAGTCATGTTAACGCATAAAAAGGGACAGTTGAGGATTTGCTAGCTGGATAGGAGGTGGATGGTGGGATGGGGAACTTAGGCTGGGACAAGACTTCCCGAGAAAGCCCCAGAATCAAAAACGAACCATTGCCAAAACCGGTCTGGCTCAGTGGATAGAGCGTCGGCCTGCGGACTGAAAGGTCCCAGATTCGATCCCGGTCAAGGGCATGTACCTTGGTTGCAGGCACGTCCCCAGTAGGGGGTGTGCAAGAGGCAGCTGATCGATGATTCTCTCTCATCGATGTTTCTAATTCTCTATCCCTCTCTCTTCCTCTCTGTAAAAAATCAATAAAAATATATTTTAAAAAACAAAAAACAAAAAAAACGGGCCATTGAGCAGCAAGGAAGTGATGTTATAGGGCAGTCTGAAAGAGGTAGCTCAAACAGTTTTCTAATTCATCTTAGAGCCCTGCCCAAGTTGGGTCTGAAGCTATGTTGGATAAATGTGTGTGTGTGTTTTTTTTTTTTTGTCTCCCTTGCAGTGGAAAACGTGTTGCTGGGCATGGAGAAGGAAGTGTGGGAGATAGTGGATACCTCGCGTGACTTTGTCAGCACACATGGGCAGTGGGAGCTCCTGGGCATCGACAAGGCCAACCCAAAGCTGTCTATGGGCTCTAATATCTATGACCAGATCATGTTCTATGTAAGCCCAGAGGGGTGTAGGAAGGGACCTCCATCCCCCGGACCTCCATCACGGGATCTCTTGCTTCTTGCCCCAAGACCAGAAAGGCCCTGGGCACCATCACCTTCATTCTTCCTCTCTCCTGAGTCCCCCAAAGCAGTCCCTTTTTCTTAACCTGTCAGCTCTGGCCTTGGTTTTCTTTGGTGGACACGGTGGGGAGGGGAGGGGTCTTGTCAGTCATATGTAAGCTGCTCCTCGTCATTCAGCCCCAGAAGTAGCCCTTGTCGCGAGGAGGATACCAATAAAGGAAGGGGCTGGAGCCATCCTTAGGTCTCCTAGCTTCACCCGGCTCTCTCCTCCCCACCAGGTGGCCATCAGGCGCAAATCCAGGCGCTATGTCATCAACCTCCTGATGCCCAGTAGCTTTCTGATGGTCATCGATGCCTTCAGCTTCTTCCTGCCTGCGGAAAGCGAGAGCCGTGCCCCGTTCAAGATAACCCTTCTGCTGGGCTACAACGTCTTCCTGCTCATGATGAATAAACTCCTCCCTCCCAGTGGCACCCCCCTCATCAGTATGCACCCCTCACCCAACTACTGGGTAATGAGAAGAAGGGAAAAAAGGAGGCAGGGTAGGCAGGTGACCTGGCCAGACCTGCTGAACAGATAAGGCAAAAAGGAGAAAGAAAGCATCTTAGAAAGGGCACTCTGTGTGAGACAGAGAAAAGGAGGGAGGGAGAGGGCCTTCTGGAGCTGCCTCACTTTGGCGCGCTCTCACCCCCACCCTAGGTATCTACTTTGCCCTGTGCCTGTCTCTGATGGTGGTCAGCCTGCTGGAGACCATTTTTATCACCTACCTGCTGCACCTGGCCACCACCCAGCCCCCACCCATGCCCCGGTGGCTCCACTCTCTGCTCCTCTACTGCACCGGCCCAAAGATACTCTGCCCCGCTGCACTCTGGAAGGAGAATGTGGGCCCAGTACTCACCCCAACCCACCTGCCTGGTAAGAGAAGCCACACTGCCCACACTTACTTCTCTAATCATATTTCCATCCACTTCATGGCTAAGTCTCTGTCCTCTCCGCAGGCCTGACAGAGCCCAGGGGGTTGGTAGGGGAGAATCTGGAGCCCAGAGAGGAAGACCTAAATGGGGGCTCAGGAATGACAAAGACCCAGCTAACTGACCTGTGGGTACAGTTCAGCCACATGATGGACACCTTCCTCTTTCGCCTCTACCTGCTCCTCTTGGCCTCCACAATCATCACAGTCATTGTCCTCTGGAGTTCCTAGGAGCTGAAATCTGATGTACCAGGGAACCTTCAGCCTCAATGAGCACCTCAGACCCTGCTCTTCTGCACACACTGTCCCTGCTCCAGCCCTCCCTGGGCTTAAATAGAATCACTGCTACTTTCTCAGAAACAAAAAACACCACCACCACCCCTCAGCCAGTTTGGCTCAGCGGATAGAGCATCAGCCTTATGACTGAAGGGTCCCAGGTTTGATTCCGGTCATAGGCACATGCTCCAGGTTGTGGGCTTGATCCCTAGTGGGGAGCATGCAAGAGGCAGCCAATCAATGATTCTCTCTCATCATTGATGTTTCTAACTTTCTCTTCCTCTACCTTCCTTTCTGAAGTAAAAAATATATTAAATTAAAAAAAAAATAAAGAAATAGCACGGAATGGAAAATGGTGCAGACACTTTAGAAAACAGTTTGGCAGCTCCTCAGGTGTTACTATATAACCTAGCAATGCCATTCCTACATACAATTCCAAAAGAAATAAAGATATATGCTCACATAAAAATTTGTATTATACTCAAACGTTCATAGCAGCATTATTCATAATAGTGGGGGAGAAAATGGAAACAAACCAAATATTTATTAACTGATGAATGGAAATAAAATGTGATTATCCATACAATGATATATTATTTGGCCATTAAAAGAAATGAAGCATTGACACATGCTGCAACATGGATGAACCTTGAAAGCAAAAATAAAATAAAATAAAATAAAATAAAATAAAATAAAATAAAATAAAAAATCTGGTCACAAAAGTCTACATATTATATAATCCCACTTACACCAAATGTTCAGAATATGCTAATTTATAGGTACAAAATGTAGATTAGTGGCGGGTGCGGGGATGGAGGGAAAAGCAAGCCAGAAGGTTCTGAGGCCACTTCTAGTAGTTTCTAGGCGCTGCCTGGGCGCTCTGCCAGGCAGTACTGAGGTGGTTGCTGGGGCTGCTTGGGACCTGGTGACGTGATGATTAGAAAGCGGATGGCCAAGTGGGGTGAGGGTGACCCAGGCTGGAGGGAGCGGGCAGATGCCACCACCAACAGCTGGCCCTGGGCAGAGAGGGATGCTTCAGACGGGTCCACAGATACGCTGAAAGCACTGTTCCTGGCAGTGCGGGTGCAAACTGAGGAGGGCAAGTGTGAGGTGACAGAAGTGAACAAACTTGATGGAGAAATGTCCATTCACAATCGCAAAGGCAAACTTATCTTCTTTTATGAGTGGAGTATCACGCTAAACCGGATGGGTACCTCTAAGTCTGGAGCGCAGTACAAGGGACATGCGGAGACCCCCAATTTGTCTGATGAAAACAGCATGGATGACGTGAGATTAGAAGAGCCGGACACAGATCTTGTGGCCTTAAGGAAAGAAGGGCCACAGAGAAGCAATGGGCATGTACTTCAGCACCCTCGAAACGGAGCTCACGCAGGGCATGATCTTGCCCGCGCTGAATGGAGAGTCAGTAGCCCCCACTGGTCAGCCAGTACCCACAACTAAGGAGTACAAGGCTAAATCTGCTCCTTCCAAAACCCAGACCGGATGAAACCGGTTTGGCTCAGTGGATAGAGCGTCAGCTTGCGGACTGAAAGGTCCCAGGTTCGATTCCGGTCAAGGGCACGTACCTTGGTTGCGGGCACATCCCCAGTAGGGGTGTGCAGGAGGCAACTGGTCAATGTTCCTCTCTCATCGACATTTCTAGCTCTCTATCCCTCCCCCTTCCTCTCTGTGGAAAATCAATAAAAATAAAAAATAATAAAATAAAATAAAAAAAAACCCAGACCAGACCTGTTGGTATCAGAATCCCCACTTGTAAGATCGCCCTTAGAGACACCTTCCTGACATCACTATGAGAGTTCTCCACAGTGCTTACTGCCCAAGAGCTGGTTCAGGCCTTGACCCACGCTCCTGCAACGCTAGACACAGACAAAGGTGGGAAGTTTCACCTGGAAGATGGCAATGCCATGAGGAATTCACTGATCTGGTCCCTGAGAAGCATACTGCGATGACGTGGAGGTTCAAATCTTGTCCAGGAGGGCACTTTGCCACCATCACCTTGACCTTCAGTGATAAGAACGGAGAGACTGAACTGTGCGTGGAAGGCTGAGGCAACCCTGCCCCTGAGGAGGAGAGGCCAGGCAGGGCTGGCAGCGCTGCCACTTCGAGGGCATCCAACAGACCTTGGGCTCTGGTGAAGGCTTATTTCAGAGCCAGCAGAGGGATTCCAGCCGGCCCCACGCTTCAGTCCAGCCCTCTCCTGACTGAGGCTTGACTCACAAAATTGCACCATTCCAACCACTAACTTGGGGCCGGGGCCCTTTCCCTTGGGTTTGTGCATGTTTTCTGCTGGGTGGGATGAGAGGGCAATTTCTCTTTTATGTGTACATACGCTAAATAAACGTAATTTTTTTTTAAAAAAAAAAAAAGTAGATTAGTGATTGCTTGGGACTTGGTGGGGAAAGGGACAGGTGAGTGAGGAAGACTGCTAATGGGTACAAGATTTGGTGTGTGGGGGGAGGGTGATGATAAAAATGTTCTAAAATTAGACTGTGGTGATGTTTGCATAACTCTGTATTAACATGCTAAAAACCATAGATGTGTGTGCTTTAAACAGATGAATTATATTTAAATTATATCTCAATAAAGCTGTTAACAAAAAATAACTATCCCCACCACAAGATTCTCTCTGCCCACCACTTCCCTCCTGCTTGTTTTCTCATGCCCCTGCTCCCCACTGCCATCTCCCACACTCAGACTCCTGGACCCATTCATTCAGCTTTCACCAGTGTTTGCCCCTGTCGTCCTCCTCCACCACCGAGGACCCACAAGGTGCTCACAGACCTCAGCCCCTCACTCACCTGTCAGGTGTTCATGCTTCCTTGATGTTAGCATCACCACAGCTTCAGCTCACACACAGCTGCCACCATCTCTAATGATTCGATTCGAAGTTCTCCCAGTCGGACTAGCTCAGGGCTCCTTAATAGAATTTGGCGATTCAGATATTATACCTAGGACAGCAGTTCCCAGAGTCTTGAACTATTTATTTTGCATGAGGATGGAGGAGAGGCTGGGAGAGTGCAATGAGGAACAACAGCCGTGTTTTGCTTTCTGGGCTGGGGTAGCTGTTAACCCCTATTGGTCAGCTGGCAGGTGGCGCTCCTGTACGTGCAATACACTATCCGGCTTTAAATGAGAGCTTCTGCTTGTGTGGACAGTCCAGTCATCTGGCCCCCAGAACAGCAACATGGAATAAGTAAATGAGCGAAGCATTCATTCAGTCATTGATTTATCCAGTCTTTTCTAAGTGCTTACTTATACTTAGACATTTTCTTTTGTAAGTGCTGGGGAAATGTCAATGCATAAGACAGATAGGAGGAGGCTGGTTTTCTATAGTAACAAACTAAGTAAGATGATTTCATGTACTTTAATTGTTCTGAAGACAATAAAAAAGGGTAATAGAACAGAAAATGACACATAGATTAACAGCATGTTCCAAGAAAATCTCTCCGAGAAAGTGACCTTTGTGTCAGCCCAGAAATGAATGACAAAAAATAAAAATGAGTGAGACAAGGATGAGATATGCCATACTGGTGTGTCAATAAGGGAGGTTGGGGTGAAGCATAACAGGCACTAAGCGATCTGGGTAGCCAGGTCTTTGGATGAGCGAGGTGAGAAACTGGAGGGAGAGTCCATGTTGGTTCTTTTGTTCCTGTTGTTTAATGTTTAAGAATTGTGAGGGTAAGCTTTTATAATCCACTCAAAGCATTTATTTATTTTTTTTAAATATATTTTATTGATTTTCTACAGAGAGGAAGGGAGAGGGATAGAGAGCTAGAAACATCGATGAGAGAGAAACATCGACCAGCTGCCTCCTGCACACCCCCTACTGGGGATGTGCCTGCAACCAATGTACGGCATATTCCCTTGAATGGAATCGAACCTGGGACCCTTCAGTCCACAGACCGACACTCTGTCCACTGAGCCAAACCAGTTTCAGCTACTCAAAGCACTTAAATCAGTACCTTTCAAACAGTTTTGATCACAGAATCTATTTTACTAATCCATGCATACTGCCTCACTCAAAAAAGAACTGGTGATAATATAGAATTGATAAAGAACAAAATGAAAGTTGCAACAAACATTGCTAGAATTACATATAGATTCACTTACTAGATACTATGTAAGAGAATATGCATTTATAGGTGTGTTTTTAAATTATAAAACAATGCCCAAAAACTTAAAATAAGTAATATTTTTATTACAAGTTACTTAACTAGCTTGTACTCTCAATGTAATGTCACTGCACAAGCAGGTTTTGAGGGGATTTATACACAAGAAATAGAGACCTAAGCACAAAGCAAAACTACTTTGATAGATCATCCTATAGATAGGACACCCTAAAGAAGGAATCAAATAATCCATGTGATAATTGAATAGATGATGGATATTGGAACATAGCTAACAGTTTATTACTAAAAAGCATAATAGCACCTCGGGTCAATGCTGTTGATGCACTAATAACAAAATCCCTGGAAACTGAAATAATTCCAACAGCCCCCATGTCTCTTGCAGGAAATAGTTTTGCAACTTTCCCAGAGGCTGCAGGATCTTAGTAGAATGTCAGATTTGAATCTTGAGGACACTTTGATAATGAGCAAATTTTAGTTTACCAATGCCACATTTTACCAATTAGCATGTTCTTAGTAATAAGTAAAGCTGAAAAGAAGTCCTGAAGAAAGGGCTTGGGTTTGTCAGCCCTTCAGGAGGCCCTTACTGCCCTCTAGTGGGAGCCCTTACTCAGGTCTCTCAGTGACACTAGGATTTGTGTAAACCGGCAGACTATGCATAGTGTACCTACCTTATCCATATATTCCTGATTAAAATTTGGACACGTCAGATTTTTTTCTAATTTGTAAAATGATTTCTATAAAATAGCCTTATAAAAATCCTAAATAATAGCCCTAACCAGTTTGCCTCAGTGGATAGAGCGTTGGCTGGGGACTCACAGGTCCCAGATTCAATTCTGATAAAGGGCACATGCCTGGGCGGTGGGCTCAGTCACAAGGAGGCAACCAATCAATGATTTCCTCTCATTATTGATGTTTCTATCTCTATCTTCCTCTCCTTTTCTCTCTGAAATCAATTTAAAAATGTATTTTTTAAACCCTAAATAACAAAAGCCTAATATGCTAAGTATCTGGTTGTCCAGTCATCTGTTCAAAGTATAATATGCCAATAATATGCTAAGGCTGCTCAACCACTCGCTTTAACATGCACTGTTCACCAGGGGGCAGATGCTCCAACTGGTAGGTTAGCTTGTTGCTGGGGTCTGGCTGATCTGGACTGTGAGATGGGCCAGACATGCCTGGAGCCCTCCCACAACCCCTTCCCGGCTGGCCAACCTATCAGTCCCTCCCTGACCCCAATTGGGCATCAGTTCCAGTGAGGTCCCTCGGCTAGGCCTGCACCCTCTTGCAATCCAGGATCCCTTGAGGGATTTCAGAGAGATGGTTTCGGCTCTATCCCACAGGCCATGCCAAAGGATCCCATTAGTGGATGAATTCATGTACTGGTCCTCTAGTCTATAAATAAAATTACCTTCTAGACTTAGTGACATGTCTTTTATTAAAAAACTAAATTACATGAAAAGAAATATGAAAGTAAAATAAAATAAAATTTTTAAAGGATTAAAAAATATGAAAGTTGCAAAGAAAAGAAAGAACATGTATCAACTAACATGCACCTGTAACTTCCATCATTGACCTACATTGAAGCTAATGAGTTAATGAGCTATAATATTATTCCATTTGTCCTTGTGGAACAAGAACCCTGCTTGTTTGAGAATTAATGGGCCTGCAGTAAAATAAATATGTGGTGGCTTTTACAGTTGTAATAAAGGTTGTTAGTTTAGGCTTTTCCTTGGTTTAGACATAGAAAAGTTATTTTGATCACAAATAGCCATCATTTACTGAATACTTTCCATATGCAAAGTCCATTACATTTGTTAGCTCATCTAATCCTCCCAACAATTTTATACGGTGGATATTAACATTATTCCAAGTTTACAGATAAGAATGCCAAAGTACACTTATCATAGTGACAATTTAATAAATTATATGAATACCTAATTAGTAAAAGTCTTTAGGTGATCAATTATCTCCTTTTTTAATCTCAAATATATTTACTTCAACTATGTACTTGAAAGATAACTTCTCTGGGAAGACAGTGCTAGGTTGCAAATATTTTCTCTCAACTCTTTGAAGATTTTATGCCATTATTTTCTGGATTCCATATGAACTCTAGTGAAGTCCATCTAATTTGTATTCCCCTTTAGGTAATATATGTTGTCTCTGTAGCTGGTTCTTTTATTTTTTTTAAGAGCAATATTCACACACACACACACACGCATATATATATATATATATATATATATATATATATATATATATATATATATATGTTGTCATTTTATTTGATTTTTTATTGTTTAAAAAAAAGTA